TTTCAGCTAAGTCCAGCCACCAACTTTTGCCTGATCGCAGAAACAGAGCAGAGAGCACATAGACCAGTTGGCGCATTTCTTCACGGTCACCATTTATCGAACAGTCCCCGGTGTCGCCAGAGGTTACAGCTCATTAATCTGGCGATCTTGATTTTCAGCATGTAAAACTGATAGCAATGACGAAACCTGGTTGTCTTTGCATCCCAACTTTGAATTAGGCACATTGTATTTAATATGATGGTTTCATTAGTTATCAGTTTTGACTTTCGAGGCGTCGCATTTTTCACATATACATTGTCTTTCACAATCTACATTTGTTCACAGAATCTCTCCATCTACTTGAATTAATGCCAGAGAAGGTTTAATATCTTATAAATTCAAGGTTGATTTATTGTCAGTATTTGAAGTAAGAATCCTTGAAAGCAGAACGGCTTCTGATCCACACATTAACCGATGCAACAGAAGACTTTTTGTTTTGAAGAATTCTTACTAAAAGAGGCGAGCTAGCAAATTATTGTTCAACAGCTATTCTTTTATTTTTCAGTCTCATCCACTGAAACAGGTATCATGTCTCATGGTCAGGTGCAGCCCGAAGCGGAAACAGTCGAAATCAAAGGCCAGCGATCAGCGTCTGTGAGTGTCGTTCAATTGCCACAGTCCGTCGACCGCATGGAGGCCGCAAACTTGAGGCAAGTGTGGCGAAAAAGAGGTTCCGCTGCAGCTATTGACATGTCTTATTTGGATGTTGTGTCGTTTCCTATCATCGAGGATCTCTCCAGCGATGAGCCGCCCGATTTGGAGCGGTCCTCTGACGCCCATTAAGCTGAACTTTAACGCTTAAATGAATATAAATATGGGACACATGTTGCGTGCTTCCGGTTTGATGCTGTAGTTAAATAAACTTTATGCACGAAATAGTTAAAACTTTGACGCTGTCTATTTGTGTCCTGTGTCTTTCTCTTTTTTGTTTTCGTTTTATCTCTGGATTGATTGTTGTAGTGCCTAGTTGTAGATATGCAAGGGTTTAAACTGCTCGGCAACCAGCATCCCTGACATGAAGTTGATCAGGAAAGAGTTCGTCAAAGACGGAGCCGGGTAAATTGTCGTCTGTTGTTGAGGACATAGACACGTGGCCATCTCTTCGCTTACGACTCACTGATCGTTTAATTTTTATAGGACTGTGACGATGGTGCCCGAAGAAGATGAGGATATGTGGCACGCGTATAACCTCATCCAAGAGGGCGATCTGCTGCGCACGTCGACCCTCAGGTTGGTATCCTGTTTTCCACTGTTTTGTTGGTCGCTGCTTGATGCAGTTGCGTTTTGCTTCAGAAAGGTCACATCAGAAAGCGCTACCGGTTCTACCAGTAGTTTCAGAGTACACATTACGCTTACAGTCGAGGTGGAAAGTATCGATTACGACAGCGCATCTGGCATGCTGCACGTCAAAGGCAAAAATAGGGAAGAAAACCAGTACGTCAAAGTAATATTTTTGGGCTCATTGATCGTACTCACTTTTTTAAACTTTGAGTATTGTGACGTAGGAGTTAACTATAACGCTTGCGTTGATTATGAACTGAACCAGTTACCATTGCATTAACCGGCATAAATCTAAA